AGCACTGTACTAGATTGGCGGAAAGGTCTCATCATTGTACAGTTGAAATGGTTAGATGGAAATGTAAGTTCTATGCTACCAGTTACTTGTCTCGCACTTCTAGCTTGTGGAAATCTCTTCCGGTTACGTGCTTTCCAGTCTATCATTATCTTCTTTCTTCTTATTTCCTGTTCTTTTTTTGTTCACTCCTTAATCATATTTTCTTTTCCTCATAATCTTTTTCACTCAGTAATTACTTTCGTCTTAGTGGCTTTAGTGCCTTGCTTGGCGTGAAAGAATTTTAAAAAGTCTGTATGCCATTTTTCTAACATCGGGACATTTATTCACCTGTACATTGTATCAACACTTCCAAGATAAAATGAATTTATAACAGAAAGAAAGAAAATATGATCAATCAGGAAACGACTGAGAAGCTGGAACATCAAATTAATACATTTTATTCCCCAAATATTATATTAGTATGATAACAGCCGTTTTAATAGTAGCGTTAAAATTAGGCGTTGGTATTTATAGATTGTGAAGTTAATGTAATAAAATCCTTTAAAAGCTTTTCAGGAAAATAGATTTCTCAAATCCACTAAATGTTATAGATCTTTCCAATATTGTTCCCTTCCAAATCATTGTTTAGGCTAACACGGGAAGTTCCATCTGTTACTCCTTGTTGTTGTTGTTGCTGTTGCAAATGAATATCTGATCTGGTTTATGATATTTGGTAAGGCTATTCGTTCGTGATATTTTTAAATGCTGCCTATAAGATCTTAAAGAACCATTTTCTTTAAGATTTAAGAATTTATTTGTTTGGACCGATTTACCCCGTTGATAGAAGAAATTGATTATATAAATATGATGGATTTTTTAATTGCTAAAAGTGATTGAAATATTGATTTCGAAATTAAACCTGTATTTATTTTTTAAATTCGTAATGTCCGCTAACTAAAGTCGCTATGTCATTTTTTTCCAACATCATGAAATTATCTTCTCGAAATACTCTACCATCACTTAAGCGAAATTAATTTTGTAAAATAACCAAGTAAAATCCAATCAATGGTTGAATATGAATGAGATCAGTATCGCCTTGTCTGTCTACTATCTGCTTCACAACCGAGTAGTGGCAATAATGGAGAAAGCATCACCGCGAACAATCGCCAGTGAGACACGCTGCAAAAACCACTCCGTTTCGCGAGGCTCGTCCCTTAATCGAGACGCAATCGCGCCAATCCTCGGAAGGAACGCCATCGAACGAGGGCCAATAACCCCTGAAGTCTCCACTGCCACAGGAGTAAAAAAAAAGAATATCAATTGTTTATGTCTGCGTCCCGTTTGACGGACCCCGGCTCAACTGCGGACCTGATCAAATTACAGGCGGAAAATGTATCCGCACAGGTCGTATCCCAAATCAACGACTTCCCCATTTTAAATTTTTCCTCACCACGGTCAAGGCCTACGGGTTCGTTTTAGGACGGCAACCCAGCTGCATCCAAATCTCTTCTGATGATGACGTTTATTGCTGTAGAAAGCGGCCTACACTACGACGACAGGCGAGAGGATGCAAACCAAACTCATCGATGGAAGCTCCACATCTGCATCTGTGACGCTCACATAATTTGAGTCCAAGACGGATCACGACTCCGACCCAAGTGCACTCATCATCAAGAAGGGTACCGGTAGATAAAGAGGGCACTGCGTTGTGAAGCAGATAGTAGATAGGCGAGGCGATGCTGATCCAGAGAGAGCCTCAGATTAGTAAAATTGGCCTCGCATTTTATTTTATCCCAGCTTTTTTATTTTGATGTGTCTAGTGGGATAAAAAGTAATTCTTGGGCCCAGACGCTGCAAGCTTGTTCGAAAGAACTACCCGAGAAACCCTGAGACGATCCACCGAGTATCTCATCAATTAATTCACGACTGAACGAAAGCGAAAAAAGATGTCCTGGAAGGGCCAAATCTACTGCTGATCGAAGGCCCATGCCTCCGAAACCCAAAGAGAGCTTTGTCTGCCTCAAATATCAAATTAAAACACATTTTCACCACGTATTTCACATTCAGAAAATGTCTGACGTTTCAACTTGCTGTAATATAAAATCTTATGACGTGCTGCAGAAATGCCGTGAATGAATTTTAATAAAGCTCTCGAGAGAAAGGTTATCGAAGAATGCCTACCTCTACATTTCATTATTCATTTGCCCGCTGCTATTTTGATATAATTCTTTACTTCTTCGGTAAAAAAATAACTTCTTCAATCAACATCATGTCTAGAAAGTTTTCAATTAATTTATCAGTTCTTTGATTGCAGGAATGTCATGGACGACTCGCTGTCAAAGTGTAATAAATGGATTGTGGCCACGAGGGAATTTTGCCATTGGATAAATAATTTATTTCATTATATAAAAGAATTCTTTTTTGTATACTAATTGTTATATAGGAATAAAGTGTCGCTGCAGACACTTGAGTTTGAACATAGATCGCCAGAGAGTAAACACAGGCGATCCCATTAAAGAATTAAGTGGATCACATGACCATAGAGGAAACGCATATATAGGTAGTCGTGTGACATCTAAATGATCGTTATTTCTACTCTATCCTCTATTACTATTCGGCTCAAATTTATACCCTATCTTCTATTACTATACGGACCACTATTTTCTGCTATATTCACTACACTACTTCTCTTTACTTGTCGAGCGAGAATTATCGAGCAATTACTATTAGTACGAGTGCTATTCGAAGGCGTCTGACACCAACATTGTTCAACGGCGTACTATAGTTGTATCTGCGATTACAAAGTCTCTACTACAACAAGCGCTACAAAAATGACAAGAAGTATTTGTTGGTATCACAAAAGCGGCAACGAGTGTTCATTGACATCACAATACTAATTTACTATTTTCATTGTATTGTTATCTTCAAAACGTTTTGGTTGTTCTACTCTGTTTTATTTTCAATTTTTTTTTTTGTTGGTTTATTTTATTTTATATTTTTTTTCTTTCAGGTTTATTCCATAGTTTGTAAACTTCTAGAAAATTTCTAGCCGCGCATTCAATCTAAAGTTGTAAATCGTTCTCAGTCAGGGCTAGATGATATCTCGTGTCAGTTAATTACAGCTAGTTAATTTCTCTTGTTTCTTCCGCCCAAACTCACTAGACTGAACTCATGACTGACACATAATTAGATTTCTGAGTCCATTTTCATTGTTAATAGGAGACTAACGCTTTTATCCACTAGGGTATGCAGCTCTTAGGACAAAACAGAGGCAGAAACTTAGAACTAAAAAGCTAATGCTACTTTTCTGAGTTAACTATTTGCCGGTCTTTTGGACGCACCCACGCACTAAACGCACCCACGCACTAGACGCACCCACGCATTGAGGGTACTCAGATTCTAGCATGGAATATTTTGAAACAAATGCACATATCATAGCCAAAAAAAAAAAAATCCAAATAACAACGTTACATTTATGTGAAATTCTCACTAATCATAAAAAAACACTTACATTATGAACACAAATTATACAACTAATGCTTCTTTTTAAATAGAAATGAGGAAAAAAGTCAAATTACCAGGATATTTTTTGGAAAAGAAGAATTTTACTACATTTCATCGTGCATTTATTGAAAATTGTTTTATTTCTTTTCCGGGGAGCAACATCGGCACATACAGTAAATTCCTAATAACTACAAAGAAATCTACTGGTATCTGTGAACGCTGGTACATATGGTAATAGGACAAAAAGTAATTCCAATACCATACATGCAGAAAAGCAAATTCCAATAACTGTATATCAACATAAACACGCACAAAGCATTTTTTCGTGGACTGAACATACTTTACTGTGCAGTCGATCAAATTAAAAACAAACAAAGCGTATGAGCGAAATTAAAAATATAAAATGTCGATAATTTTCCCATCGGACCCATTCTTTTTAAAATGCACACATTTCAAACAAAATGGCGCGCGTAAAAATGTTTTGTAATCATACGTATTGTGTCATAAAAGTGAATTAATGTATAATTTTTACAACCATAGAAAGACTATAAAATATAAAACATTCATGGCAACAAAGAAATGTACGAACAAGTGGTCTGGTTTTGATTACGGCATATCAACATCAATGGGTTATTTAATGCTGACAATTTTTATTGCTCGTAATAATTTTTCCAAAAATGTATTGCTGCTAATATATATATTTTTTCCAAAAATGTATTACTGGTAAAATTATTTTTTTAAATGTATTGCTGGTAATTTTTTTTAAAAAAATGTACTACTGGTAATATTTTTTCCAAAAATGTATTGCTGGTAATATTATTTTTTTCTTCAAAAATTCATTACTAGTAATAATTTTTGCAAAAAGTATTGCTAATACTAAAACTTATTTCTACACTATCATTGTGTTTTGACCCCAGCTTGGGAAGGGGGTGTCACCTATTTGCTCATAACTGGGACCCAAACAGGTGCTACCACCCTGGGTCAGGGTAAACTTGAGAATACCAGCAATTAAGAGGTCGTTCCACGATCCTCAAAACCTTCTAATCAGTGGCCTTGCTGTCGGGTGTAATTTATCGTCTTACCCAGCACGCGGATGTAGTTTATCGTTTTACCCAGGACGCACAAACGAGTGGAAAATTAAACAAAAACATTTAGATGCAAAGAGAATGAAACTCAATACGCAGCAATGTAGCTTCTTTCAAATTTTATATGGTAGAACGTCAGGTATGCAATGGCAGACTTGCATTGTTTTGAAGACACTTAAGGTGTGTGCAAAACATGAAAGAATTTCCTTGGAAACTAGAGAAGAAATTTTTAAAAAAATTGAAAACTGCTCTTTCAAAATAAATAAATAAAACATTGGAAGCTTCTAAACATCAATTGACAGCCAGAATAAAGAAATAAATTTCGACATCTATGAAGCAAATTTAAATTTATGTGCTGATTAAATTCACATGGGAGAATACAAAATCAAATCGTTCGAAATACAGAAACCTGACTTCACTTGACATTCTGGCTTACGGCCATATCAGGTTGAAACATCGCTTCTCGTACGATCATCGAAGTTAAGCAACTTCGAACTCAGTCAGTACCTGGATGGGTGACTGATTGGGACTACCAACTGCTGTAAGTTTGGATGTGCGGGTGGTGTTATCGATATTGGATATTGGCTCTGGATTCTTAATCAGAGAGCCGAATTTCAGTTATTTTCATTATATTCAGTTGCGTACAAATACCCTTGAGAAAGGTATGAATCGACACCTTTTCCCCCAGCTATGGGTTATTTAGTAACGCTTGTATCGCTAAATTATTATTATTTAAAAAGGATTCATACGATCTAACAATATTTTCTGATTTCAGATAACATATAAAGGGTTGATATGCCGTAGAAAACAAATCGAACAATCACTCAATAAATTTGTTTTGAATAAAACCAGACCAAAAATGAAGTACCCGTGTCATATATATGCTGGATCTGCCTAGTCACATTTTCCAACCTTGACAAAGTTCAAAATCGTTCACGCGCCCTTGTTGGTGATGAATACTTTTCAATCATATAACCCCTTTCCGACAAGTGAAAGCCTCTCGCTACCCTATTGCTATTTTTACGTTCAGACGAACTACATCCCTTAGTTCCACTAGTTCAATCCGTCACAGATAGGACCCACCAAGCCTGGTACAATCAGTCGACTCATCTGCATACCTTTCGTATTCCATTGGTAAGGAGAAAACTTCACCCAAAAACTGTTACTTTGTAATACAGACCCCACAGACGATACTTCCTTGATCACCACAAATTTGAACTCTAGAATCAATCGTTCTCCCTTGTACACATTTTAATCCCTATTCGTACAATTTTGCAACAAGATCAGCCAGTAATACTATACATTGGGTGAGTCATGGTACATAAAATATTAAAATAATCAGAGATAAAACAGGATTACTCCTATAAGTAAAGTATCTTTGATAACATATGTACCTTCCTCAATTTAGACCGATCTCCATGATGGTTACAAAAGACGTTTGCAGCTATAAAGGAACAAAAAAATCGGGACGAATTGAATAATTTTCTTCACACAGACGATCTGTTGGAAAAAGAGAAAATGACTTTGACTTTGCGTTAGTCAGCTCAGATTTCCGAAAATGAATATCCCCTGGGGAGATTCTACACCTCAATATAAAAATGCTTATAGCATTACAATTCTGTAAAATATTGGCGTACTTCTGAAAAGAAATAAAATAACAGGCAATTTGCGTTACAAAAACTTGAACTGCACTTTGAATTATTCATTTAAACTTATAATAAATTTGTTGTATATGCATATGCTGTAAATTGTTAGTGAAACACACCAATAAAAGATAAAATTTTTATTCATTTTTATTGATCAAAAATAGTCACAAAATTGAAATATATTACATTAGTTAAACATAATTACAAGTCAGAAAGAGTAATAATAATAACGATAATATATCATTATTATGATATATAATCATGATATATATATATATATATATATATATATATATATATATATATATATATATATATATATGTGTGTGTGTGTGTTTAAAGGAAAACAGAAATTTATGAATATTGTATGTAATTTCATTCCCTGCTGACTTTTCAATGCAAAAAAATATAAATGAAATGAATTTATTTGAACAATGAATCAATAAACAATTTCCTTTTTACATATTTTCTTTTTCTACAGATTATCAGAATTTTTTCACACACACACACACACACACACACACATATATATATATAAAATAAAAACTGGCCTTCGTTAATTAGGTAGGGGTGACAGGACACCTGAAGTAGACAAAGTGAGACTCATGATTTCAGGACAAAAAGTGTAATAATAATAATAATAATAATAATAATATATATATATATATATATATATATATATATATATATTTATTTAAATACACACACACACACACACACACATATATATATATATATATATATATATATATATTTAACAAAAATATAAATACAGATAATTTGGTTTCCTTAGTCGGGCGTGACGACAGGACACCCTGAAGATGACAAGGCGATGTTTTCCTTCCAAGGCAACTGAGCTACAGCTGCACCACACCGCGGCGTGCTCTATACACTGAGTCAGGAGACTAATGGGTGGCAGCAAAAGAAAATAGTTGCTAGATAGGATATCCGAGTCTTTTAAAAAAATATCTGGAAACACACAAACACCGCATGTGACTGGCGGAGGGTTATAGATAACGGTCCGAGAAAGAAACTTTTATCTAAACCTACCTTGGCATATACAACTTAGAACTTATCGTCTCTGGTCTTTGCATGAAAAGAATTACTCACATCCTCTTTCGAATATATTATGTCATTGATTTTCGACATTGTGCTTCTTTTTTCATCTCCCATATCTCTATTTTAATTTTCGTTCTTGACAGATTGTCTCGACAGCCTCTTCCCAGAATGAAACGCAGGCAACTTTTTAATTAAATAAACACAATGACACAGCAAAATTTACCACA